ATTACCATCGTGATGATGATAGCTATCATTATAGCATCCTTAGCATTACCACCGGCCTACCGGCAGTTCTGACATGTAAATATAAGAAGAAGAAAACCAAGAGATGATGATCATGACACCAGCAGGCGATGAAGCGTCCTTTGCATTACCGCCACGAACATGATAACTATCATCGTAGCACCCTTAGCATCACCAGCAGTCCGTCATGATAATGATAACTATTGTAACCGTCGTCGTGGCACCCTTTGCATTACCATCATGATTATGATCGTGATGACTATCATCGTTGCATCCTTAGCATTACCATCAGCCAAGAGATGATGATCGTGAGAGATGACGAGGGTCACCATGATGATGAGAACTATCATCATAGCATCCTACGCAGTACTGTTCTGAAATGTGTATATCAGAAAGTGTTTGAAAACAGTATCAGAGAACGAGAGATGATGGTCACGACGAACATCATAGCATCCTTAGCAATACCATCAATGTCTACAGTCAGTTTTGGAATGGATATACCAGAAAGTTTCACACGTATAGTTCTGTAGACTAAGTAAATTTAGCACTATAGTGCTATATAACTTTAAGTATAAGAAACATGCGAGATATGAGGAATATGAAGATAAACAAAAATAATCGTGACGATGGTCTTGAGATGATGGTGGCCACCATGATGATGGTATCTATCACCATATGCTTTGCTCAGCCATATTGATGAGGATAGCTATCATCATCGCATCCTCATTACCATCGGTCCATCAGCATCATGATGGTGACAACTATCGTCATCATGATGATAACTATCATCACATTAACTATAGTCATGGTGATGATAGCTATCACATGGGATCCTTTGCGTCACCATCAGTCCGTAGCTGTCGTCATGATGATGGTAACTGTTGTCATAGCGCCCTTTTCATCACCAGCATGATGTTTAGAACTATCATCATAGCACCGTTATCATAGCAGTAAAAGAGATGAGGGTTATGTTGATGGTGATGATGATGATGACGATAGCAACAATCGTTATGGCCAAGATTAAAAAATATACTCAAAAAGAAACATATGTTGTGATGTAAGAATAAGATAGTCTAAAGTACGTGTAAGTCTTCAAAGAGGACCTAGATTTTATGACCCTTCCCGTGCGCCTCCTCTTGGGCGAGGGGTCGGCGGATTTAAGAAATAATATTTGAGATATTTTAAAATCGGGGCCTGGGGAGTTTAACCATTCAAAGTATTTAAGTTATTTCAATTTGTAAATCAGCCTCAGCTCCAGGAACCAGGGCCCTGGGGTTCAAAATGTTGAAATCTGGACCTGGGGGTTGAAAAAAATGATATCTAAGCATCCTTGGCCCGAAATTATGCTAAATTTGCAGGCAAGGGTCCCGCGACACATTACACATACTCGGGGGCTTGCCCCCCCGCATGTGACAAGAAGACGCAAAGATGCTACACGGCCCCTGTTACGGTCCCGCGTGTAACACCCTGTCATGGTTCCGCGTGTGACAAAAAGACACAATGATGCTACAAGGCTCCTGCTGTGGGGGGGGGTTCCCCATGTAACAAGCCTCCCCTCGTGTTTCTCAGCGCGTGTGGGGTCGATGCCAATGACAACTGAAGTTCATCGATTCTCACTATCACGTTGGCTACCCAATAGTTTCCAAGCAATCAAACCATGATCATGATGATGATGAGCGCCAATACGGTGATGATGATGGTGATGATGGTGCTGATGATGATGATGATGATGATGATGATGATGATGATGATGATGAATCATCACTACGCGTCCAAAACATCAATAGCATGGGTGATGATAATCATCACTGTTCGTCCAAAACATCAGTGATGATGAAAACCATCACTATGTGCATCCTCAGCATCAGCAGTCATGAAGATAATCATGATTACGACGACGACGATGATGATGGTGATGAGCAAGCACCATGATAGACTGAGCCATTCTTAGGCAATCCAACGACGTGCGCGTTGGGCAGCTTTTTGCGCAAATGGCGTCTGACAAATGCCAGCCGCAGCCAGGCTTTTTTTGCCGTTTTCGCCAACAGCAGCTACGTTTCCGCCAAAGCGCATCATTTTCAACGGCGTCGTTTGTGGAAACAATGAGCAACGGATATCGTTGGATGCCCGAAGTTTAGAACCCCTCCGCCCATATCGCCTTCGTAGCGGAGGGGCGTCAACCGATTTTTTGGAAGGGCGTCGGGGCCTTGTTGAGATTCAGCGACGGGGGCGGTGCGAAACGTATCAAGCACTCGTCGTTGCGAAGGGTGTTCCTGGAAATCGTGGGTGGGTGCGGCATCCTGGCTAAGTCACTTGCTCCTACGACTGGTTGGGCATTTGGGATGGTTGATTGCAATTTGGATGCGTGTTATGACCTTCGATGTGCGTTTGGAGACACCCTGGCGCCTGTTTTTTCAAGAGAAGCCCTTGGTGCTTGGTAACCCGCGCCCAGCTGATGAGAGGAACATTCAAGAAAGAAACCTTTTTCTGCGACTCACTTGCCAGGATCTCAACTTATGCCTTTCTTGCCAGCAGGTCTCATTTACACCTTGAATCCAGCCAATTCCCGGCTGTGGCTTTGCCCGAGTCTATAAACTTGTGATGCGACGTCGTTTGGTGTATTGGGTTGATGTTGGCTATTGCTGCTTTGGCATGCGACGGCGCAAACAAACCAGGTTTCTTTATTTTGTGACGCTCCAAACGTTAGCTGTGCCAAGCTTCTGAGCGGCCGCGCCTGCGTTTGATGGGAATTGTGCCAAATGGTCAGTTCTTTGTCAAGTTGGTCGAGGCTTGCCCCAAGCCTTTCTGGAAGCTTTTGGCTCATGCGTTTTTGGACTGGCATACAGGGCCAATTGCAGACAAGTTTTAGAAGCGGCTGTTAAGCCGGCTAGTATAGATGTAGCAGTGTGACCAGTTTTTCTACTTGCTGAGTCCTCTCACGATGTGTCAGCGAATGGTGCATCTACGTAACATTGTGACGTAACCTGTGACCAGAAGTAGCCGCGCAGAATGGTCTCATCATGTACCTCACACGCGAGTCCTTGACTCCCCTGCCTGGTTTCACTCCAACAGAGCCTTTCTTGCCCTATCTTGAAAGCCCGCAGGGGTTTGACGCCAGAGCTCTTCTTTCCAACCATCCTAGACATCAACATCCTCATTTTCGGAACCGGAGCCGGCTTTGGATCACGTGCTCCTGCGCTGGGAGACGGTCCATGCCCGCAAGCGGACGACCATTCCCAAGCCATTCGGATATGCCATCACGCAGGCAAATGTCTAGAATAATCTAAGAGTAAAAGTACATACCCCAAAAGTACATACCCCAAAATAATGGAAACACCTTCTCGGGGTAGGGATGTGTGCTTGCCACTTTCACTGTTAGCCTATGCCAGGCGCTACTCGTGATCGTTTGTGTTCAGCCCCGGGATGGCAAAAGCAGTGTGGGCAGAACAACGCCCAGGTGAAGCCCCAGATTTCGTATTTTGAGAGGTGCTGAGGAACCCTGGACAAAAGCCCACCGGGGCCGCAGAGTACATACCCCAAATTTCTTCAATTTCTCCCGGGCCGGGAAAACACAGCACACCGTGGGGAAAAAAGTACATACCCCAAAATAGTTGGTTATGGGTGCGTCCTTTGTTCTGGAACTCCTTTTTTGGGGTATGCGGGGGGGTTGTGGGTCTTGGGGTAGCTTTTTGGTCATTGGGGTGGGGTTGGCGGGGAATTCTCGGGAGGGATGCCGGGTGATTTCGGGAGAGTTTTGGGGGCCAGGGGCTTTGGGGGGTGGAAAAGGGAAATCCGGTGCCAAGAAACGCAGGTGCAAGTGAAAATGGGGCAGGCTGCCTTTGCAACATTGTATAACCCCTATATAACCACTCTATAGTCAACTTTTTTTGGGTATGTGATTTCGGGGTATGTAGAAAAACCCTTAGAAATAAATGTGCAGAGGAATTTGACGCAGGCTTCATGCTGGAAAAGAGCCAGCCTAATTGGACCTTTGAGCTGGGTGCTTGCAGTTCAATCTTCCCGTCAGATATTTCAAGAGTGTTTTTTGACCAAGGGAAGGCAATTGTTCGAAGGTTCTTGTTTGTTTCTTCACGCATTTGTTAGCTCTTTTGTTTTGCCCGCTTTTGTGGCTTTTCGTTGCCTCAGCAAACAGACACCCCAAACGCACCCCCACACCTACCCTCCGGAACCCCAAAATTCGCCCTGATCCCGCACGCGAACCAAGCCCAAACCAGCCCTACCCACCCCAACAGCAGCCTAGACCAATACTTTACCCCCCCACTAAATCAACTGAAGCCCTCCCTAAACCAGTCGCTTGCCACACCCTAAATCAATCCTGGACCAGCCCTAAATCCCACCCTAATCCCTTTGTAAACCTAAGCTTAGCCGGTGATAAATCAATACCAATGCCTCATTGACACACGCGCTATCAACCCCGAAATCACATGCCAGAAAGGAATTGGGAACATAGAGAGCATAAACAGCCAAAGCCATCAAACAACGGTATAAACCCATGAACAAATCCTCAAAAGCCAAAAAGCCGGAAACAAAAACACCCTGAAAAATACAAATAATCAACTGATAATAGTAAGTATCTACCCAAAACCCACCTTGAATAGATCCCTGAACCGACCGCGCTCCCAGCCCTCAATGGACCCCACCCAACCAACCCTTCACCAATCCCTCAGTACCTCCTTCAACACTTTGCCAATCCACATCCCCAAACCAAATTTGGCCTAAGCCCACTCCAAGCCCACCCAAAAGCAACCTGAACCTACCGCAAGCCATATGAACATTTTGCGAGCCTGAGCGGGCGGAAACCAGTAGATTTCCTGAAGGGGCTGCAAAATACATCCTTTTGGAGCAGAAATGAATCTCGAAAAGCCAGAAAACGAGAAATGAATCATTTCAGCAGCATTGGCATTTTCACATTGGACTTCACAGGGCGCGAAAGCGCAAAAAATGATTGAGAAAAGACCCAGGTCCGGCAGCGGGACATCATTGTGTCAGCTGGGGTGCCTTTGCGAGGAGATGCTTTTGCTGTTCCGGATATTTATCGCATTTATCGCATTTATGGCATTTATGGCATTTATGGCATTTATGGCATTTATTTTATGTTTCTGTTGTTTTGTTTCGAGAACCATCCTTGCTGAATTCTAACATGTCAGTGAGAGACACGTGTAGTCATGAAGCTTTCGATGGACGTTGTGAGACGAGGGCCCAGCAGTCCAGAGAGAATGGATCATCCTTCAACCAGGCAAGAGGGTTTTGGGTCAGCACTTTTGAGTTCCGACTCATTCTGACAGTCCATTTGTTTTGAGGTATCCTGCGTCTTTGGTTGGCAGCACGGTGGCCCGCATTGCAGCAGACGACCCTGAGGACTGGGTAGCATAGCCAACTGTGAGTATGTTTTCAAAAGAGTATTGTATTTTGACAACCCCTGCAGGTTGAACATCTTTTGCCAAGCGCTTGGTATGAGCGATGAATCTGGAAATGTGATTGATTCGAGCACCGGCGCGGGTGGGCGGGGGATGGAGTGGCTGGGAGCAGTTGCAATGGCTTAGGCGAGCTCCCGTTCCTATCGTCGTCACCGGCAGCAAGCTAGCCGACAAGGTGTTGCGGAGCAGTTGGCTTCCAGATAGCAGATGATTCACAGGGCGGTTCAGGAGAGGTAAAGGCACTTAGTTTGTGGTTTTGATTAACAAGCGAATCCTGAGCAGCATGGCCACGGCACAGTCACGAGCTTCCCTCGGTCAGGCAGTGGGCCGCTGGAGCTTTGATTATTTGGAGAACTTTGGCAGCACATTCTAGCCGTGTGGCTTTGAGTAGGAAAGGGAGAGAACAGAGCATGTGCAAGGAGAACGCTTGCAGATGTGGACAACTTCTTCGTGCTTTGCGCTCCGGCAGGGCCGCCTGGGTGATCCGCGATCGGGAGCATGTCAATCCGCGATTCGAGGAAGAGAGCCAAGGGCGCTTTGCCTACTATGCCTGCGACTCAGTGAAATGGACGCCGTACAATGTAACCTTTCTGAACGAGATCCACCGAAGGCCGATTGTAAGCTTAGCTGCCCAGGGTAGTCATTGCCAGTTGCGCTTTGGCACTTTCTGGCGGCCATTTGTCAGGACTTCTCAGATGGCAAAAATCCATGTGCTTACAATGTCGTCAGAGCCTCACGACATGTCTGCAGGCGTCACGACATGGTGTGATTTGTAGGCCGGTTTCCCGAATTTGAGGACTCGTTTTTTCATCATTTTGGCAGATGGGGATCGTCTCAATGCTTCTGGCCCGTTTCCCGAATTTTGAGGACACGCGATTTTTCATCATTTTGGCAGATGGGGATCGTCTCTCTGCTTCTGGCCCGTTTCCCGAATTTGAGGCCACGCGATTGTTCATCATTTTGGCAGATGGGGATCGTCTCAACGCTTCTGGCCCGTTTCCCGAATTTGAGGACACGCGATTTTTCATCATTTTGGCAGTTGGGGATCGTCACAATGCTTCTGGCCCGTTTCCAGAATTTGAGGACACGCGATTTTTCATCATTTTGGCAGATGGGGATCGTCACAATGCTTCTGGCCCGTTTCCCGAATTTGAGGACACGCGATTTTTCATCATTTTGGAAGTTGGGGATCGTCTCAATGCTTCTGGCCCGTTTCCCGAATTTGAGGACACGCGATTTTTCATCATTTTGGCAGATGGGGATCGTCTCAATGCTTCTGGCCCGTTTCCCGAATTTGAGGACGCGATTTTTCATCATTTTGGCAGATGGGGATCGTTACAATGCTTTTGGCCCGTTTCCCCGAATTTGAGGACACGCGATTTTTCATCATTTTGGCAGATGGGGATCGTCGCAATGCTTCTGGCCCGTTTCCCGAATTTGAGGACACGCGCTTTTCCATCATTTTGGCAGTTGGGGATCGTCACACTGCTTCTGGCCCGTTTCCCGAATTTGAGGACACGGGCTTTTTCATCATTTTGGCAGATGGGGATCGTCGCAATGCTTCTGGCCCGTTTCCCGAATTTGAGGACGCGCGTTATTCATCTTTTTGGCAGATGGGGATCGTCACGTTTCCCGAATTTGAGGACACGCGTTTTTCCCATCATTTTGGCAGATGGGGATCGTTTCAATGCTTCTGGCCCGTTTCTCGAATTTGAGGACACGCGTTATTCATCATTTTGGCAGTTGGGGATCGTCACAATGCTTCTGGCCCGTATCCCGAATTTGAGGACAGGCGTTTTTCCATCATTTTGGCAGTTGGGGATCCTCGCAATGCTTCTGGCCCGTTTCCCGAATTGAGGACACGCGTTTTTCCATCATTTTAACAGATGGGGATCGTCACAATGCTTCTGGCCCGTTTTCCGAATTTGAGGACGCGCTGTTCCATTATTTTGGAAGTTGGGGATCGTCACAATGCTTCTGGCCCGTTTCCCGAATTTGAGGACACGCGATTTTCCATGATTTTGGCAGATGGGGATCGTCACAATGCTTCTGGCCCGTTTCCCGAATTTGAGGACAGGCGTTTTTGCATGATTTTGGCGGATGGGGATCGTCACAATGCTTCTGGCCCGTTTCCCAAATTTGAGGACACGCGTTTTTTCCATCATTTTGGCAGATGGGGATCGTCACAATGCTTCTGGCCCGTTTCCCGAATTTGAGGACGCGCTGTTCCATCATTTTGGAAGTTGGGGATCGTCACAATGCTTCTGGCCCGTTTCCCGAATTTGAGGACACGCGATTTTTCATCATTTTGGCAGATGGGGATCGTCACAATGCTTCTGGCCCGTTTCCCGAATTTGAGGACACGCGATTTTTCATCATTATGGAAGTTGGGGATCGTCTCAATGCTTCTGGCCCGTTTCCCGAATTTGAGGACACGCGATTTTTCATCATTTTGGCAGATGGGGATCGTCTCAATGCTTCTGGCCCGTTTCCCGAATTTGAGGACGCGATTTTCCATGATTTTGGCAGATGGGGATCGTCGGGGATCGTCACAATGCTTCTGGCCCGTTTCCGGAATTTGCGGACACGGGTTTTCCATCATTTTGGCAGATGGGGATCGTCTCAATGCTTCTGGCCCGTTTCCCGAATTTGAGGACACGCGCTTTTCCATCATTTTGGCAGTTGGGGATCGTCACAATGCTTCTGGCCCGTTTCCCGAATTTGAGGACACGCGTTTTTTCCATCATTTTGGCAGTTGGGGATCGTCACAATGCTTCTGGCCCGTTTCCCGAATTTGAGGACACGCGATTTTCCATCATTTTGGCAGTTGGGGATCCTCGCAATGCTTCTGGCCCGTTTCCCGAATTTGAGGACACGCGTTTTTCCATCATTTTGGCAGATGGGGATCGTCACAATGCTTCTGGCCCGTTTCTCGAATTTGAGGACACGCGTTTTTTCATCATTTTGGCAGATGGGGATCGTCACAATGCTTCTGGCCCGTTTCTCGAATTTGAGGACACGCGTTTTTCCATCATTTTGGCAGTTGGGGATCGTTACAATGCTTTTGGCCCGTTTCCCGAATTTGAGGACATGCGTTTTTCCATCATTTTGGCAGATGGGGATCGTCACAATGCTTCTGGCCCGTATCCCGAATTTGAGGACACACGTTTTTCCATCATTTTGGCGGATGCGGATCGTCACAATGCTTCTGGCCGGTTTCCCGAATTTGAGGACACGCGTTTTTCCATCATTTTGGCAGATGGGGATCGTCACAATGCTTCTGGCCCGTTTCCCGAATTTGAGGACACGCGTTTTTCCATCATTTTGGCAGATGGGGATCGTCACAATGCTTTTGGCCCGTTTCCCGAATTTGAGGACACGCGTTTTTCCATCATTTTGGCAGATGGGGATCGTCTCAATGCTTCTGGCCCGTTTCCCGAATTTGAGGACACGCGTTTTTTCATCATTTTGGCGGATGGGGATCGTCACAATGCTTCTGGCCGCTTTCCCGAATTTGAGGACACGCGTTTTTTTTATCATTTTGGCACATGGGGATCGTCACAATGCTTATGGCCCGTTTCCCGAATTTGAGGACACGCGTTTTTTCATCATTTTGGCAGTTGGGATCGTCGCAATGATTCTGAGGTTCCGGGCAATCGCCGTGTTGAGATGAGATTCTCAGAGTTTCGGCAGAAGGCGCCAGTGAACCGCATCATCCAAGCACTTCCTGTTGCAAAATTGGCTGATTATGTTTCTTGACTCCTGGCTGGCACTGCTGCAGAGTTATTAAGGGCTATTTGTGAGTAGACCCGACTGGAGGTGGAGTCTACGAAGGGCACAAAGCCGGAAGCCCGGCCCGGTGCAGTCCATGGTAGTTTAATGCTTGATGTGAGCGTATGTTGCTTCTGAGGGGTGCAATGTACTACTTGCAGAACACTCTTTTGCATCGTGAGGAACTAAAGGGATGCTGAGAGAGAAGGGACAGAGAGAGAGGGAGAGAGAGATGGGCAGCGTGGGGTTTCTCGGCAGCAGAGGTTTTTGAATCTCACCTGTCAGGGTTTAGGCCGGCGCTCAAGGCGCCCGTGGCGCCGCAGACGCGTGGGCTCTGACTCCGTGCAATGCCAACACTACGTCTTCTCACAATTCAAAGCAAAAAGCTGATGTCTTGTATTGCAAAAAGCTTACGTGAGAAATGTTCTGGCCCTTCCGGAAATGCGGATCCAGCACAAGTTTGAAATCAGGGAAAGCAGAGGGTGCCGCAGGTTCCCAGAAGCAAGGACAACGCCGAGAAAAAACGGCAGGGGCGAGCGGTGCAGAACCTGAAGGCAACAGGCGCTGAGCGAGGCGCCGCCTGAGACCAAACAGGGGGGCAAAGGGAAGCCCCAAACCAAAATCCCAACCCCAAAACACCCAGAAAAATCGCAGCAGGGTAATCAGCCTGCGCTCACAAGCGCCAGCTTCATGTTGGCCTGTGTGCAAGCCCATAAACAACAAACCAAAAAAGGAGAGCTCTGCAAGATCAGAAGGCTCCCGGCGCCGCCTCTCGCATCAACTGCAGCATTCTGGCGCGGGGATGCCGTCCTTTGCAAGCTTAGTGGCAAGGAGCTCCTTGAGGAGGGCCAGCGTCTTTTGCTGCAACTGTTCTTCGGCGTCCTGCCAGGAGTGGACAGAGCGCATGTCCAAGAGCTGCACTGCTGGCTTGGCCAGGTGGACGAATGTGCATAGTCTCTTTAAATGCGCTTGGCTCTTGGGCGTCGTCTGCACGCCCTGGCTGAGATTGCGGATCTCGCTCACGAGCTTGTCCTTAGAATGCTTCTGCTTTCTTTGCTTCGATCCAAAGCACATCATCCACATATCTTTGCCCCCGCGCGCGATCTGGCCTGTCTGTCCTGCGTCGTGTTCATGTCTGGTGCGGTCAACAGAGATTTGCCACCCCAGAATGCACGAGGCGGCGATCTTAGAAAGCCAATTGGCAGTCTTGTGAAGGAGCGCGCGCGGTCCCCTGTCCTTGCATCTTTCATGCTGCACGCAGCCGCCAACAGCCAGAACAAATCCCAGAGATAGAAAACACGGCAATTTTTGAGCGAGCGACAAACACAAATTTTCAAAGAATGCATGTTTATTGCTGGCGACTGCGATTGCTGTCTCACCATCTTGCTGCGCGAGCCGAATTGCATTGCGAAGGGCTCGAGCTGACACAGTTGTGAAAAAATGCCCACGCTCTGACTCTGCGTCGGTCACAGTACCTTGGATTCCGAGGTGGCAGCAGCCTGGCAACTTTGTGACTCATGTGTTCTCTTGCGTTCTTCAGGGACCAGATTCGCCTGAACACAGGGTGTTTTTTGCAAGAAAAGCCAGGGCGCGCCCAGCGCGTCGCCAGGCCCTTCGGCGTGGCCACTTGCAGAAGGACACTATGCGGCGCACGCGCGAATGCCCGCTTTGGTTGCGCACGTGGCGTTCTGCTTGAAAGCGCTTTGCTTTTATACTAGCGTAGCAGTGAGGCAAGAACCCATGTTGTCGCCCGATGCCAAATTGCCAGTGCAACAACACGGGAATGAACACTGTGAGCAAGGCAACGCACCATGAGTTGGCATCATTTGCAGAGATGTCAGCTGCGGCTCAGCTTGCAGAAGCTGAAACGAACCATGCCAAGAAGTGCGTGGCCAGTGGAGCTTTCCATTCAAACTACTTTTGCTTGTCGATGATCTGGTTCTCTCTTATGGCAAGCAGAGCAGTGGCCTTGTCATACTTCCGTTGCTCAAGCTTCCAAGACGCGTGTTTCCTTAGCCACGCCTGGCAAGTCTGCAGCGAAGAGGCAGCTGCTTGGCCACGACAGAAGCCGCGCCAAAGTTTTCACGCACTGCTTGGCTGTGCGGACGCGATGGTCGAAGAGGGGCTTGCAAATTGCGCTCAGTCCGCTTTGCTGAGTAGCCAGAGACTGCAGCAGCTAAAGAGTTGTCATCACAGTTTTGCAAGAGCGACCGCGGAAAATTCTGGGCTCTGGCTGCGCAGATTTGGAGATCTGCAAAAGTGCGCAACGACAAGTTTTTTGCGGTGGCTGACGTACTTCTGCGAGGAGGCGTCCCAGTCTGAACGCTGGCGTGCTGCAAGCCGGACAGCAGACCGAACTGCTGGCGCAAAGGTTCTGTCTGGGATCACACATATACCCGTTGTCGGAGTGAGCCCCCTGACACGAAGCAATTTGTCAATTTTTTCTTGCGCAAGCGTGCGGTGTCTGTGGCGAAGCCACGTGCGCCGCTTTCTCTAAAGGCGAATTGCTGCGCATGAGCACCTCCAATGCTTATCCATGGCTGCCCAGCGAAAAAATACTGCGTGGGGTGCTGAGGTAAGGCAGCGCCAGTCGCCAATGCGAAGGGCTGTACATGATTAGGCCACGCTTGTTTGCCCGAGCTGCATGCAACCTTGAAGTTCAGCTGCTGGGCTTGGATGACATCGCGCTGTTCACGCAGGCGGCGGTTGAAGGCAAGTGCCCTGTCCAGTCTGAGCGCGCTTGTCACACTGGTTCGGCAAACGCATTTTGAAAAGCGCCCTCGCGGAGTACATGCTTTATGTACCCTTTGGTTGCCGGGGGTTTTTGTTGAACCTCAGCTTGGTGTTTCCAGTGGTATTGGCAGGGGGGTTGTGGCGTGTTTCGAATTGCTCTGCTGCGTTCATCATGCTGGAAGGCGTGCCCGTCCTCCGCAAAAGGCGGCAACATTTTCAAGCGGGGCTGTGCAACGTGCGACATGTGCTCCCACCAGCGCTGCGCTGGACCTGGTGTGTGTGTGTGGACAGGAGCCTCTTTGCAGGGAGGCCGCTCCAATATATCTGGTTGGGCCAAACCACTGGTAAAGCGCACAAGTGTTTTGCGTAGCTTTTTGTCAAAGGCCTTGCGTGTGCGCTAGCTCGTTCACTGGAAAGGCCTTCTTGTCACGTCTTCTCTGTATGAAGGATTGTGGCCAGAAAGCGCTTCTCTGCTCTGAAGCCAAGAGTCGGCCAACTTGGTGGGACTGTTGCATCCTTAGCCAGTTCTTTAGCAAAACCAGGGCATTAGCTGACATCAAGCCTGCCAAAGCACGCGACGCAGACCTGCGCTTGGCCGGCGGCAAATAAATAGGCAGGAAAAAAGAAGAGCAAAGCTGCTGTTCCAATGCGCGCGCCAAACTGCTTGACAGGAATGTCCAAGTTTGCGCGAGAAGTTCTTGGAGGGAGCGTTGCTGGGTGTCTACCCTCCAGAGTTCATCGCTGTGGTCCACGAATCCGCCAGATCATTTGTTGGCCTGGCAGGGCTTCGTGGACACAATTTTTACGCAGCTGATGGAGAAGTGTCGGGCGCTGGGGCGCCAAGCCTCAGAGTCAAGGAGCACCGTTACCAGGTTTATGGCAGCCCTGGTGGCATGTAGCTCTTCTTGAAGTCAGATCTGACTACGCGTGCCTCTGCATCAGCTCAAGCCGAGAAATGCAGATCCAGCGCAAGTTTGGAATCAGGGAAAGCAGAGGGTGCCGCAGGTTCCCAGAAGCAAGGACAACGCCGAGAAAAAACGGCAGGGGCGAGCGGTGCAGAACCTGGAGGCAACAGGCGCTGAGCGAGGCGCCGCCTGAGACCAAACAATTTGTTTTCCAGCGTTTGCTGATTGTCTAAGGAACTGCGAAAAACCCAGAGAAACTGAACAACCTTTGAGTAGCTTAAGAGTCCAGCGCATTCTGTCCACCTCATACACCATTGGAGGATGGCGAAAGACCTGGTCCTAGTGAGGCAGAACGGGGTAACTTGGAGTTTTGCGAGGAAACGGCGCCTGGCCCTCCCCGCTTTGCGGGGGGCTTTGGCAGCACGTGCGGCCGCGAGGCAACGGAGGGTCTTTGGGGCAGGCCAACTCAGACTAGAGGCCAAAGCAGAATGCCTTTCAGTCATGGACATGTTCATTGTTGAGCCTTCCGGAAGCTCGTGGCTCAAGGCATAGCGCGTTAGGAGCAGACACGAGTTGCGCGTGTAGCAAGCAAGTCGGATATAGCCCATGGAGTCTGCAAAATGCCGTCAGGGTGTCATTGAAATCTTGGATTGGAGGTTTGTGCAGTCCGTATTAGATGGAGGAGCTCTTGCGATGGCTAGACCTTTCGGATGGCTCAGATGGCGAAAGCACGCTCGACGCTGCTTGGGGTGTGCTGCGCAAGGCCTGGAGAGCCAAGAAGATTGGCAACGCCGCGCGAGAAGAGGACGCGCAGAGGCGAGGAATCGTTGAAGGGCGCGTGACTTGCAAAACGTGACCTTTGCGTGTCTGACCTTTGCTTCCCATGATTCAGGTCCTATTGGGATGGCCTGCAGCTCGTGGCCCGCGGTCGGCGCTTCATGGCCATGGATGGTGCTGAGGCTTGGCAGCTGACGCGCTTCAATGCTGCGGCGATGCTCGACAACCGGCCTGGGAAGGGGTGAAAGCGCGACATGCTCAATTTACATCGCACCTGAGAACACATTAAGCATGCAACGCTTCTTGCAGTTATTGTTAGAAAACAGCAGCAGCTCTTTGTTTGATACTGTGGATGGACGAAATCATGCACCACCTAGGATATCATGGAATAATGCTGCCCCTGTAAATACCAACAAACACAGCTGTCCCACGATTGCAAAGTGGTGCAGGATTTCGTCCATCCACAGTAGCTCTTCTCACCAATATGCATGTCCTCTGTTTTAGAGCAGGCCACGCTGTCAAGAGTCAATCATGGTTTGACCAAGAGCTTCCCCACGTGCTGTTCCAACGTTGCTTAAGGCATTCCGTATCCCCCTTATCCTCCGTTCATGGTCAGCGTCCTGACTCGAAGGAGGCGCAAAGTCCTTCGAGGGCAGAGACACTGGGAACTCAAAAGGTTCCGCAATCTTGCACCCGTGCGCCTGGTTCCTTGCACCCACAGTTGATATTCACGAGCAGTCTCAGTCCACATGGGCGCGGTGTTCTTGCCTTCCAATGTTTACCCAAGCCCAGCTGCTCACCTGCTGCTACATCATGTTTACGTTGCTGGCGCACAACCGGCCACGGCAGTGCCGCCGCGCTGAACTTCGTATGTGCCAGCTCTTACTCCGCCAAAGAGGCCGCCTGTGCTTGCAACAACAACACCAACACCAGTAACAAGCGCCACAGCCACAAGAACAACAACAGCAGCGTCGAGCAACTTTCAGGTGCCAAAACACGCGAGCCACAACCCAAGCGCGCTCGCTCAGCGCTGCGCGCACCTGATACTACTCGAGCGAGCTTGTTTTTGTCATATGGCTGTGCTTTGAAAACCAGCGCTCGCGCAACATTCTTTTCGGTCTATGTTCCCGGCACTTGCTGTGGGAGGGTGCACGTAGCTCCTGGAATGTGTACGTTTCACGGAAATGAAGCAAATGTGTGTTTTAGGTTACTGAGACGTGTAATACTTGCATTTTTGATCGTTTTCTGTACGCGCTTGCTGAAACCATAAGTATATGTGACTTGGTTTTCACTCGTTTAGACATGTTCGGGCACAGCCGCGTGTATAATCGTTGGATGTTGCGATCGTTTTACGGTGTGCTAGCTAGAACCTGGAGCGCGCTGCTACCGTTTTGAGTCAGGCTGTTGTTTTGACCGGCTCCGCAACACAGCATCACCAGCATGCTCAGCATTAAGTGGCTGCGGCTGTGTGTCACAAATGAAAAAAATGGCTGGCTTACCTTCGACCCTTTTCAAAGCAGGAACGGGGTGTCTGCTTTGGCTCTTTGTCATATTCCCGAGCGCTGAGCCCATTTTGCCCAGAGAAGACCGACTGCCCTTCGACGGCGGGGGTCCGCCAAGGATTTGTAGCATCCATCAAGCATCCATCAGCGAAGCTCCCTTCTCAAACTTGGCTACTAGCTGCACCCCTGCAAACAGTTGAACTTATGATACTATTTGTGGTGTTAGAGGAAGGCAACGGCTTTGCAGAAAAGATCAAGCCCTAACAGCCAAGTAGAAAGCAGCAAAGCGAAGCTTCTGAAAGAAGCGTGCGAGACATTATGTCGACAATGCTAACAAGGGTTGTGCCTGGGCTGGGCCGCAGGTCCGCCTGATTCTCCCACACCAGGCTCAACACGCGCACATTCACGCTCGGGTCGGTTGTTGGTGGTCCCCAGTGACTGGCCCTGCGCAAACTCCACCTTGCACTTGTTTTTGGTTTTTGCTGTTGTTGTTGTTGTTGTTGTTGTTGTGGTTGTTGTGGTGGTGGTGGTGGTGGTCGTCGTCGTCGTCGTCGTCGTCGTCGCTGCTCCTGCTGCTGCTGCTGCTGCTGCTGTGGGTTTGATTTTCCTTTGTTTTGTTGCGTTTGCTTTTTGTTGCGACAGGTACGTGTAGAACAAAACATCACAGGACATAAAAGCCAAATGTTGTATACCTGGTCTTGACCAGTACATATATCATAAACCATAGAATTCAGACGGTTACAGATATGGTGAGATTCAGAATACGGCCACATCCAAATATTATTAAGTCGGCTCGGTTGGCGTGCCGAAGCGTAGTCGCTCGGCAACTAGGGAGGATGCGCTGCGCAAGGCGACGTCTGCGTGTGTTTCTATTCTCTCACTTCAGGCGCGGTCAGCTCCCGCCTCGAAAAGAACTCTTCCCAGCTAGCTGCTAATGCCCTGCTGCCGCCTTCAGAGCGCCTCGGCGCACCGCAGCAGATTATGTCACTGCGGAAGCAGACATTCCGGGTTTTTTGTTTGCAACTAGGAACTTTGGCGCTGCCACAGAGATCGCCGAGTTTCAGCACAAGCGGTTTCCAGCGCGGCGTCGACGAAAAGCAACGCAGCCCGGCGTGTCACAGCCAGTGGAACCTGCACTTCCATGGACCCGCGGGCCTGTAAGAATGTGACAAAGCCAACCAAGGCAGCCTGAGTCATCAGCTGCTGCCACAAGTTCGCGCAGCGGCCAAGCAAACGCTGTCAGACCGTCCAAGACAAACAGCCGAGGCGTGTTGCCACACAATTTGCCGCCTTAGGCTGTGGTCAATCCAGCACGCCGCCCCACTGTCTGCCGCCGTCAAGCGAGCCACCCAGGGCGACCAGCTGCGTCGCGCCGCCAGGCACAGACCGGTCAGGCCTTGCCTTTGAAGGCTTGGTTGAGCCTGAAGTTCAGCGCTGCGTGCAGGTCGAGAAAGGCCTGCCTGGCGGAGTCAACTGCGTCTGCTTCCTCAACTGCCACCATATCATCCACATGCGGGACATTCGGGATCAGCAACAAAACTGCAGCGATGGCCGAGACCATGTCCGTGACCCTACAGAAAACATGGGGAGCTGCGCGAGGCCCGAAGAGAGTTGCTGTGGGACAAAGATCCGGACCCTGCAGTCAGGGGCTCTGGCTGTTGCGCAAAGGAACCTGCTGTCGCATCAAGACACTGCAAACTGCCGGAAACCTAGCCCTCTGCAAAACCACGAAGAACTGGGTAGCGACCCGCCTTGCGGAAGCTAGCAGCTGTGAACTGATTTGATCGGATGATGGCTGTGGCAAAGGAAACATCTGACGGATCGCTGGCTAACTTGCGCCTGCAATTCTGCATCGCTGCGTTATATGGTCCGCCGTTGGCTCGCCAAGCGGAAGTTGCGGCTCCCGCCCGCTAGCATCGCCCCGCACGGGGGCAAGCCACTGCGCAGCACGCAGCGCCGCTTCCTGTCCCGCACCGCTGCCAAGCCCTTCTCTGCTCAACATTCTGACCAGGAACGCCTAGCTGCATGGTTCGCGCGCCACGCCGTGCAGATCGGCTCGCGCGTAACGGTCGACGCCGCCTTTAACGCGCTGCGGCCACCTGGCGGCTGACGTGCCGTTCACATGGCTTCGCGCCGCGCGACACGATTGATTAAAATTCAACCACATGTTTTGGATTCAAAGTCTCACACGCTGCCGAGAACTAGAGTCCTGGAGCACCTGGGTCGTGCGGCGGACTGAAATGGACACCCCTGTCAAACTGTTTCGACCGACGCTGCTTGCCTTAATGTTGGATACGTGTCTTGTAAAAGCGGGCTTTTTCACTTCCTGCCGGTTGCCTTGCAAAGTAAGTTTCTTGGTGGCCGCAGGCCGGAGTTATGAAGTAACGAGGGAACAAACGCGCTTCCTGGCGCCCCCGCTATCACCGAGCGTGGCTCCGGCGGGCGGCAGCGACCTTGCGATTGCGCTACGGACATCCGCTTTATGCGGAGGAGTTCGAGCGATTGGCTGTGGCGATTCCAGATGTCGGAGAATAATATGTTGCGAAGCGCCTTGGTGAAAATTATAGCAGCAGCGTCAAGTCATCGCCAGGCGTGGTGCTACCCTACACTGCCAGCCGAGACACGAGTGTTGTTTACTAAGAGCGGCCGCAAGGCGTCGCTAAGTTGTTGTGCGCAGCAGTATGTCATGCCAAGGAATATGAGCGAAACAGCCTTGCGGGCGGAGCTCCTCATCACTGGCTACCACGCTTCAACGCAGGCTGCGATCGGCGGGGGCGCAAACACGAAGGAGTTGCGCCAACTTTTTAGCAAGCAATGCCCGACGATCGCGCTGCCGCTCGGCTACACCTTGTGTCTTGCATGTTATCTGGCCGTTGCCCAGGGAGTGGAGTTGAGCCTCTGTAAGCTGCTGCAGCTTGTCAAGTTCGCCACTCGTCCCCAACATTTTGCCGCCGTGGCTGTGGAATCCTCGCCTGCGCGGTAGGTCGAGACGGGCGTCGTCGAGAATGTGCGCCGCCTGGCGCCGATTGGACATGGAGCGCGGCTCGCTAGCAGCCTATAGAACATTGCTGATGCTTCGCGTGACATGCCCCTTTGCACCACCGAAAGTGCTTCTGCTGGGTACGGACTCCGTGGCTGCGCCGTAGCCATGTGACGCGCGTACCTCTGCACTGAGGAAGCATAAGCCGCTCGCTGTTCTCGCCGGCCAAGACCAACTAGGTTTCACCTCGCACGTCTCTGTCTTACTGGCGACCCGTCTCAGAAAAGTGCAAACGTTAGACGACGGGTGGCCCGAAAGCATTTTCCATGACGCGCGGGCTGAATCGGTTCATTTCTTCCAGCTATGCATTTCATTGTCTACTCGGCGCATGCCTCTATCACTGCACTGCTTGCCCTACGCGTGCCTCTATGCACTTCACTCTGTCTACTTTCCCTGCGCATGTCTCTATGCAGTTCACTGTCTGCTTTTCCTGCGCACGCGTGTGCATTTCATTGTCTACTTTCCCTGCGCATGCCTCTATGCGTTTCACTGTCTACGTCCCTGCGCATGCCTCTTCGCAGTACGCTGTCTACTTTCCGTGTGCATGCCTCTATGCATTTTACTGTGCGCTTTCTCAACGCATGCCTCTAAGGCATTGCGCTCTACTTTCCGACCTTGCAGCCGGGAGCTTCGGGGACGTTCTTCGCGTGCTACTTTTGTACTTAAAAGTTG